GCTTTGTCACCCCTTGTCTCCCATGAACAACAATCCGTCGAGCGCATGACGCCTTGGGAGACTTGGCGCCAGGAATGGATCGGCCAAAAAAGAAAACTTCGACTGCCGCCTGCCGCTGCTGTTTGGGGTCGATGCTGGCGTAATTTGTTAAAAGCAAAAACAAAGCAACATACATGCAAAAGTAACGCACACAAAAAATCAAAAACATGTAGCTTTGAGTGTTTGTCGTTTTTTTTACTTCTATTTTTTCGCTTTAGTTTCGTTTTTTCGCTTCATTTTTTTTTTTTGGGGTATTATGTTCGCTTCTTTTTTTCATCGTTATTTTCTTAGGAGCGTACAGCGAATATTGCTGACGGGTAAAAGTTCTCATACGTGCAGAAGTGGTACCAGTAAAAAAGAAAAACACCACATATGCAAACACAAAGCAACTTGCGTTGCTTTTGCATTTCATTTGCCATTGCTTTGCATTTCTATTATCCGTCGTTTTTTTTCACGCACACATATTTATTTGATGTTTGGTCATGTATGGCTACCATTGCTTAACATAACAATAGCCTTTGCAACATTCCTTCGCAAAGGATACGTGTGATCAATCCTTCCGCTGGAAATTGTAGGCATGTGCAACTTTTCAAGGTACATGAGAAGCTTCAACATATTTCCACTTGAACTTTTTAGCAAGAGCTGACTGAAGGAATCATCCTGGACAAAGCTGCGACTTTGGAAAGCCTTGGAAGCTTTGTGGACTCCAATGTCACACTGGTGGTAACAAACCCTACTGTTGAGTACCGAGTCATGCAGGGTGCCATGGCAAGACGCAGCTCCGTCCAGGTTCTGTTCAAGGGCTTTCAGATTGAATGGATGGCAATCATAATATGGATCTGAAATGAATCATGATTCTGAACATTTTCAACAGAACGACCAGATCAGACTAGGTTAATCTTTCGTTGAAAGAGCTACAGTGCACGCTATGAATTTGCAGAGCAGCAACTGTTGATGCTGCGCGCTGCCGCAAATGTTTGTCTGCAGAGGACATGCCACAATTTGTACACCAGCTTGGGTTTGTCGTCTCTAATCACGCAAGACATTTGACTTTGACGCAGCTCAGGTGTGCTTTTCAAATCGATTGGCGCTCAGATTCAAACGTGCGTTGCAAGAGGTTCAATTGATTTGAAATGACAGAACTCGTGCTCTTAATTGGCAGGATGTGGTAGTTGGAGAGTCCACACATGAGATTGAGATTATGAGGACCTTAGACTTCCGTTTGAGACACTTGAGACATAGGGCTTCCGGGACCTTTGTAAGCTGTGGAGTCAGCCGATCTCGACTGTTGTTTGAGACCCAGGTTGGGTGCGCATCCAATTTCTTCGAAGGTTGCAACTTGGAATCGTTGGAATTGTGCTACTGTGGATGGACATTGAGCAGTATATATATATCTATAAGTAGGAGTTTTAATTTTGTACAACAGAGATAAAGATACTAGCATAATTTTTTGTGATGATATCACTTGACTTGAACCTTTTTGCATTTTTTGGCAGTGTGGTGACATTGCTGATGGAATTTGGATTGGTGTAACCGTTGGTTGCGTCGATGACCATCCTGCGTCCAGTAGCTAGTAGCGTTTAGTACCAAATAAATAGAGCTACTAACTAGCCGGCCTAATGCGGCCTACCCCCCCCTCCCGGGCTTTAAACATTATTATCTAGTAGCTTCTTGTTACTACTAGTAAGGCACTTGTTACTAGAAGCGATGCACTTGTTCCTAGTAGCTTCTTGTTACTTGTTACTACTATAAACATTGTTATCATCATTACACCGGCATAGATCCCAGATACTAAGTAGCTCCAAAGCACTGGCAGACAAGCGGGAAGACACTTCAGTGGGAGGACCTTTCCGCGTGTTTTTGCGACGAATTGGACTAAGTAAGGTTGTGGCGAACTGCCGTCTAGGACCCTCGTTGGGGAGACAAGTAAGGACAGCAGCGGCAAACAAAACGCCGATCCAAAACACGGATCAGCCACCCTTTCACTGAGAAGTAAGAATCCCTATAGCTTCCAGCTTGGGGAATAATATTTATGCTGTTAAATGCAAAACTAAAAGAAAAAACAACGCCCAACTCCGACAGCGTCCGACGTGCAACACCTCCCATCCGAGACGACCGATGAAAAGTACCCGTGTTGTAAAGGGCTTTGCAGGGCTTATTATAAGCGAGAACTTTTTATGGCTTTATGTTTGGGCCCTTCATCGTGCAGTGTAGCGCAATCCAGTTGCAGTCGCCGTGTGCAGTTTTCTTTCCCTACCCCGACCCCAGATGCTTCAATACAACAGCAATGATTTGTGGCTTTTCCGTGCCCCAGCCTACGTGGGGAAACAAGGCAGCAGCAGCAGACAAGGAGACAAGGTAGCGGCGGCAGACAAAGTCCAGAAGCAGACAAGCGGGGGAGAGAAGTGGGGCGACAAGGAAGCAGCGGCAGACAAAGTGGAAACCGCAGAAGCAGACAAGTTGGGGGACATGTAAGGAGAGAAGTGGGGAGACAAGGAATTGGTGGCAGCGGTGGACCAAAACGCAAACCAACTACCCAGTCACTGAGAAGTAAGAACCCCTACTATTAACATCCCCACCCCCTTAGCCTAGGAAATTGGGGGGGACGTCAAAAAATGTAATTTACATTTCTTTGGTGTATAATTGTAAGTTACCCCCCCCCCTACGTTTTTTTTTTGGGATAATTGGGGGGGGGCAGAAAATGCATGTTGACCACCCCCCAAAAAAAAACGTTCATCGTAAGGTACGTTCCCTGGGGAATCCTCAGTCCGCATCGGTGTGCAGAGAGTTACTTTTGATGGGGGGGTTTAATGTAACATAACTTGGTAAGTTACATTTTTCGACCCCCCCCTGATGCTTTTTTCAAGCAGTTGTATTTTGTATTATTGTGTCACACGTTACCCGCCGAGACGGGTTTTTCATGTTGGAGGCCATCGCTTCTAGGTTGGAGGCCATCACTTCTACGTTGGAGGCCATCGCTATTAGGTTGGAGGCCATCACTTCTACGTTGGAGGCCATCGCTACTAGTTTGGAGGCCATCACTTCTACGTTGGAGGCCATCGCTACTAGGTTGGAGGCCATCGCGACTAAGTTGGAGGTCATCGCTATTAGGTTGGAGGCCATCGCGACTAAGTTGGAGGCCATCGCTATTAGGTTGGAGGCCGTGCGGAGTGGTGCCGGATAACATTGGATAGCCTCAGAAATGTAGGTTTACATTTTGACGCTCTCAGCTTACATTTTTGAGGCCATCTTTCGAAAATGTAAGCTTACATTTTTGACCCTTCACTTATGACCGACCCCCCCAAAATGTAACTTGCAATTCTTGAGGTCCCCCTCTTAATTGGTAGGAATCTATTAACACCATTATTTCTACTAAGACTATATTATATGTTTTTGTCATTTACAATTTGTTTCTGCTTCGACTTGCCCCGTGGTGAGCCCGTATGACCTTAACAAATTGCAATGAATGGCATCGGCCTGCAGGTGGTGCTAATCCTTTCATTGAAACGGGTGAAGGTGTGAACCAAACCAAACCTGCTCGTTCTGGTAAAGTTCTGAACGAGTAAACTATTGTAGATGAGGGTCAAAGGGTTTCTCCGATAATTAAATCATGTAAATGCAATCTGTAAAAACCTGGGCAAACAATTGGAATACTTTTGCTTGC